TCTCTGATTCTGTGCCCAGGGCCCCCGCTTTCATTGCAGGCCGGGGATTGGGGCGTCTCTAATTCTGCAGGGGCACAATGAGGACTCGAGCGAGGGGAGGAGAGGGCCGGGACCATGCCAGCACAGCAGCTGGATTGTATCCAGTGCTGCTGGCTGATTCATTTGGGGGAGGTGTCAGCCGATCTCTGGGCCACCTGCACAGTTGACCTGGTGACCCTGCACCATCACATGACCAGGTGGGGAAGCCCTGGCTTGAAATCCTCCTGAGCGCTGAGCTCCTTCCTCCTCTCTGACTAGCTGGGAAGCAGCGAAACGTTGCACCTTATGGCCGTAGCGTGGTGGGCAGCTTGCATGCAAGGGGTTGGAACTGGGGGCAGGGAGTCAAGACTCCTGAGTTGCACCCCCCTCTGGCCTGAGACAAGCAGGTCTCAGCCTGTGTGTGCCTCAGTTTCCTCCTCTCTAAAAAGGGGCTAAGGATCCCTCCCTGCCAGGGCTGCGTGCTGGGAAGTGAGTCGAGACCCTCCGATAAAAGGGGAGTTGGGATTGGGACAGCGTGGGAGGGGGGGTGGTTTCTCCTCTGAGTCCCCAGCGGTTCCTAGTGACCAGTGTCCAGACATCGGCTCTTCGCTGCCTCATTGAAGCTAGACAGGGGCACGCTTGTAACTCAGCCTGGGAACAACTTACCGAGGGCTGCGGGAATTCTCCCTCAGCAGCCAGCTTTAGATGCGGATTGGATGGTTTCTCCAAGATCGGCTCTAGTTCAAACAGGGATTATTTGGGGGAAGTCCCGGGGCCTGTGCTGGACAGGTCAGACTAGCTGATCACAGTGGCCTTGGAGTCTGTGGGTTGAGCAGAAGCCCAGGGCTGGGCTACATGGAGTTGCTGCTTGCCAGCACGGAGGGGAGAGGTCCTGGGGAGGGGCAGGCTAGGGCTGCGTTGGCTGAGCTGTGAGGGGGAGGCCGGTGCCGCACCTGCCTGCACGGTGCCTCAGCCGGACGACTCTGCGATCCAGAGAGCTGGGTGATCGCTGACGGCTGAACTGCCCGGCATCTCCGGCATGCTGTGCCTCATCCTCCTCTGACCCTGGGGGAGGGTGTCTAGCCTCCTAACTGCGGGGCCGGAGAGGGTCCCTGAACAGGACACGCCAGGCAAGCCAAACCGGGGAGGAGGGGAAGGAACCCAGGCTTTTACTGTGGGCTGGAGAGTTTCAGGGGGAAATCCTGGGATGGGGCGTGACCGTCCCAGAGGTGACACCCAGATAGGGTGAGTGACCCTTGACCCCAGGCTCCGGGAGCAGAGCACCTCCCAGCAGGGGCTAATGATGCTGACATGGTTCTTACCTTCCAGACGAGGGAGGGCCATCCGCCATGGGCACGGGAGAGTGGGGGTTCGGTCACGTCATCAGCCAGACCGGCGCCGGTGCAGTCCTCGTAGAAGAGGTGCAGGTAGGAGCGGACCCCGTACCACTTCCCACGCTCCACGTTGGGTCCCCGGCTGCAGCCGCACGACTGGTCGCGGGCAGGCATGGGGCCTGGGGAGGGGATTGAGAACGCTCAGCAGGAGGCGCTTCGCTGCTGATGCTGAGCTCGGGGACGTGAACACCTCCAGGAGCGGAGCTAGCCCTGTGCCCCATGGACACGGCGCATTGGGGATACCCACGAGACACGTCCGGGCCCCATCCCCCAGCCGGATGCCAGGACACGACCTCAGCCAGACATTCATGTTCTGCTGAGCACAGTCCGTTCCTGAGGTGAGTGACTGGGGGGGCGCCCAGCAGTGCGCTGCTGACTCCTGCCTTTCCCACGGTGTGAGCACAGCCTGCCCCTGAGCCTGTCCCCTGTGTCTGGCTAGTAGCATCCCCTAGTGGTTAGAAGACAGGACTCCTGGGTTCCAAGCTGTGCTGATACCTAGCCAAGTGGCCTTGGGCCAGTCACTTAATCTCAGTATGACTCAGTTTCCCCAGCTGTGAAGAATGTTCCCCCTGCTCTTTCTGATCGTGCCCCCACCCGTTTTGTGGGGCAGGACACCGCCAAGCTGGGTGCCACCTCCCTCCCATGGCGGGGTGGGCTCCCAGAGCCCTCGCCCAGCTGGAGACGCCGGGGAGCAGTTTCGCCTTCATCTTGGTCAGGACGTGATGTTTGAAAGCTGGGGGCAGAGAGGATCTGGTTAGCCAGAGCTGAGGGGTTAATGGCCAGGGCATGGGATAACAGTATCCGGGGGGATGGGGAGCCGAGGGGCGGGCATGGGTACAGGAGTGACAGCTCTGAACCACCACCTCAACCTCCTGAGAGCGCCTCCTGCTGGTACCAAGGAGACATGGGCATTCTCAGCGAGTCAGGCCTAATATCCTAGGCCCATGAGGAGCTGGACTGGGCCCTTCAAAGCAGGGACAGCCCTTGCTGAGCCAGGGCCCTGCTCCCACGGCTCCCCTGCTCAGCGTCAGGTTCCTGCCCCATTGATATCAAGGAGGGTTTGGCCAGGACCGGAGCCCATCGTCCTGTGTGCAGAATCAGCCTGCAGGACCTGGGAAGGGCCAATGAGATGATTGCTGGGTCACCTCCCACCAGGACGTTGGGGGAACCTGCAGCCCTGTGCTTTGCAAGCCTTGGGGCAGCCGGGGGGGGGGGGGGAGCATGACCTTCACGTGCCCGCACTCCCTGGCGATCGGTTCCAGAGTCACTGGCTTTCGTGGGAGCTGAGATTGACACCTCTGGTGCACCCACCCATCGGGGGACCCTTCCTAGGTCCCAAACACCGGCCGGCCCTGCCACTGAATGGAGACTGGCTCCATCCTTCCTATGGGCCCAGCCCCCTGCTAGGAGCGCAGTGGGGCTGCAGGAGTTCCACTGCTTGCAGAATTGGGCCCTATATCAGGGTATCCCCAGTTACCCAATCGAGTGAGTGGAGGAGGAGGGGCTGGGAGCACTCGGCTCTGCCTCCTCATGCTGAAGCAATCCCCCCTCCCCACACACACACACACTTTTCCTATAGCGCTCACACCCACCCTGTCCTGCCTTTCCCCACCAATCACCGCGTCCGCCTGCAGTGGGGCTGATCAGCGCAGCCCGGGGCTGATTGGGCATTGCCATGGGAACTGCCTCTCTGGGCCGTAGTCACAGCTGGGGCTGGGCATGCTGACAGCAGAGCCGGTGTGTGGGGAGGGGGTGGAAATGGCAGAGCCTCCCTGCGGGGGACGAGGGGCAGGGAAGAAGGGGGACCCCTTCAGTCCCAGGGGGAGGGGTTTGAGAAGGATCTAGGGGCCAAATTCCTCGCTGGAGTAACCCTGGTGGAGTCACCGGAGTCGCACCCAGGGGCTGCTCTGAGAGGTGGGTCCCCCCCCACCCGCTGAAAGCCCTGTCCCAGCACACTGAGCGTCTGTGTTAATTTCAGGGAGCCCAGGCCTGGCTGGGGCCTTGCCCTCAGCACCGACACATCACCCAGCCAGAGAGACATGCCACGGGGCCTGGCATGGCGGAGGGTGATCCTGCACCCACAGGGCCTGTCTGCCAGGCCGTGGTGGTTAGCACAGGGTCACCCGAGAAGGCACCTCCCATCCTTGAGGAGCAGCAGCCTGGGAATAACCCCCTGCCCCAGTTCCAGCCAGTCGATCCATCCCTACCCGCATGGGCTACACCCCGATGCTGGGTTTGTGGCCTGGTTACTGGCACTGGGGCGTTTGTCATTCCTTCCCCGCTCCTGTACCGAGAAGCCCCATGTCCGGGCAAGAGGTGTCTGTGAGGGGGCCCTGTTGGCCCCAGACATCAGAAAATCTCCCCCACTCCTTGGCTGGTGAGTCACAGGCGAGTAAACGCCACTGTCTGCAACGCTGCATCTCATTCTCACGCCCAACACACCCCTCCCCGCCGATCACTCCCCCCCTTCCTTCCTGCCCTTCCATACATGTCCAGGATTTTAGCACATCGATCTCCCCTTGTGCCCTGCTTGGCAGAGCCGGGGCCCCTGAGCCATGCCAAGCCGCCTCCCCCGTGGTGTGCCCTGCGGCAGTTCATGGAGCTGCCCCCGCTGCCCTTACCGCTGGCTGAGCTCCTAGCGCATCCTTTCCCCTCTGGGTTCTGCCTCTGGGGGTGGCCCCTTTGCTTGCGGGACGCCCTCCGGACCGAGACCCGTAGCGGGACGACAGATCTTGCTCCGACGGTATCCGAACTGCGACGGGCGCCTCCTCTCTCTGGCTGGCTGGGACGCAGAGGGCGCCGGCTCGTGCCAGGGTTTGGCGGCCGGCGGGAGCTGGAGTTATTTTTCTTCTCCAAAGGGCTCAGCAGCACCCGCTGAATTGGAGGGGGCAAAAGGGGAGGGAGCAGGGGTGCGGGGGGCAGGCAGGGCAGCGAGGAGGGGGCGATGGAGAGAGAGCTGTTTACCTGTTGCAGTGGCCGGCTAGCCCAGCATCTGCCTGGCGTTTCCCAGCCAGCAGAAGCTTGTGAGAGGCTGGCTCCGCACAGCCGTGGAGCTGAGCAGTGTCTGAGTCAGAGGAAGAGAGAGGATGCGTGGCTGTGTGTGTCAGCGGGTCTGAGGGGATGGGAGCATGTGGAGGAGCCGTCAGTCGCAGCGCTGGGGAGTGCGGTGTGCCGGGGGCTGCCAGGCAGAGCGTGACCCCAGCCTGGCGGTTCAGCAAGGGCCCATCTTGGCTGGCAGGGCAGCCGCGTTGGTGGCAAGATGAGAGGGGCAGAGCGGAGAGCCGCTGTCTCCTACGGTTCATGGGCAGGGCAGGCCTGCAGCGTCAGACTCTGCCCCCGGGCAGGATTCAGGTCTCGGAGACACTGGTGTAAACCCAGGTCTAGGATCCCTGAGAGCAGAACCCAGCTCCAGGCCTCTGGGTGTGATGGCTGGTCCAGCCTCCAGGGCATCCGGCAGCCCCCTTGCTGGGCTTCCCAGGGCCATAGTTTTCTCCGGAGAGCCCAGCCAGGCTGGCAGGGATGAGAATCTCCCTCGGCCGTGGAGTTTCACTGACAGCTTGTAGCTTCGAGGGCACGTCCGCAGCTTCCTGTTGTGCCGTCAAATGAAAGGCAGCTCCCTCAAAATCCATCGCCTTCCCCTGGGGCTTGCCCAGTGCAGGGCTGGCTCCAGGCACCAGCTTAACAAGCAGGTGCTTGGGGCGGCCAAGGGAGAGGGGTGGCACCTGCGGCAATTTGGGGGCGGCAGGTCTCTCACTTCCTCTAGGAGCGAAGGACCTGCCGCTGAACTGCCGGCGCCGATCGCGGCTTTTATTTATTTATTTTTTTGGCTTGGGGCAGCAGAAATGCTGGAGCCGGCCCTGGCCCAGTGACCCAGCAGTTACTGACCAAGCACGGCCTCTCTGTAGGAACCCCATTGCAAAGGGCAGAGCTGGGATTAGAACCCAGGCCTGACGCACAGCCCCACCCCCCTGCTAGGCAACGCTCCCCTCCCTGAGCTCAGACTAGAACCCTGGAGTCCTGCCTGCAGCCCGTGCTCTAGCTCACTAGCTCTCCAGGCCTCCTTTAGAAGCAATGTTCTAGCATAACCAGGGCAGGCCGCAGGTTTGCCGGCTGTATGGGCTGCGTTTTGGCCTGATGTGGTGCTGGTAGCACCTTCCCCGGCTCCCTGCCCTTGGATGGCACATAATGTTCATTGCTCCCGGAGCCTGCGCAGGGACAGATGGCCCCTAGCTCTGAGCGGGGGAGCCCCAGCATGGCGGGGTGACACAGCAGGGCCTGGCCCCAAGTTTGGAGCCACAGAGAGCCTTTTTGGTCCCAATGGCTTTCTCTCCTGAAGGCCTCGTCTCTGTGTTTCTCCACCCCCTTCTCTCTCCCCGGTCCTTCTCTTCCGTTCTCCCCACTTCTGCACTGTCTCCCCAGCCTGCCAGTCTTCTCTTTCAGCTCCGCTCCTGCACCTCCTCTCCTGCCAACAGCCCCCCTCCATGTTCCTGCCTGGCGACTGAGTGCCCTGCAAAGAGGAATGATCTGCAGCTACTCTCCCTGTGCTCTGATCGTCTGGGGCAGAGCCAGCGCTGGGCAGAGATGGTGCAGCGAAGGGGCACCAGTTGGGCGTGATGCAGCGGTCCATCGAAGGAGCTGTGAGCATGCAGCACATGGCCTCTCAAAGGCTCTGTTGCTGGGGCAGAATTCTGACCCTGCATTCAGCCGATCACAGCGGTTGCTAAAACAACATCCCTACGGTGGGTTTGGAAACTTTCTGTTGCTAACAAACCCGGAGGAAACTGAGCTGCTGCTAGGATGCTCAGGTGAACCCAGGGGTGCGGACGGCACACCCGGGAGTCTACCTCCCATGGCTCTGAGGTCGAGCGATCCTGGATACTGGGCTGTACGTGACCATGGCAGCTGGGACCCAGCACGAGGCTGGGCACCCCAGAGACACTGATGCCTACTGGGAAAGTGGGCACATCATAGGCACAGAGACGTGGCATAGCATTCATGGGGCAGTGAGTGGGGGAGGGATTTAGTCATGGTGGCTGCTGCACTGAGAATAACCCAGTGCCCTTTGGGGCACGAAAACCAGGGCCAAAGCCTGCTGCTCGGTCACCACTGCGCCG